TCCCTTCCGAGTAATTCGGCATCCAGAACTAGTTCAACAGTATACCGACAGGTTTAAACACTGTTCTGCAAAACTTTACCCTTTTTAGATTGTGTGCGCACTCGTCAGAGTCAAAACTGCAAGACTAACACAACACAACATATAAGAACAATTCATCTCCTTCGCCATCTCTCCCACCTCTATAACAACTCCAAATAGATCAACAATAACAGTATTTCCAAACGTCGCGAAATCCCTTCGATGAACAACAATGCATTTTGAATGTCTGTAACAAAGAGAAAAAAACGTAACCATCGGCACACATCATCATACTGTACAAGAGGGAGAAAATGTGGAATGAGATCTACTGTTGAGGACAATCGCGTGAAATGTGGCCGGATCCTTGGCACTTGTAGCAGCGCTTTGCCTCAGCAGAGCCACTCTCGTTGCAGTCTCGCGAAATGTGACCGGGCTTGCCGCAATTGTAGCATTTCTGACCACCGCGGAAGCCGCCTCCTCCCGAAGGGCATTCACGAGCGAAGTGACCTTGTCCTCCACATTGGTAACATTCCTGTCCGCGAGATCTGTATCCGCCGCCGCCACCACCACCACGTCCACCGTCACGCTGTTGGGTGCATTCACGTGAGAAGTGCCCGGCCTCTCCACAGTTATAACACGAACCGCCGCCACCTGCAAAAAAATAAATTTTACACAATGGAAAACCAGTATGACTTCCGCTTCCCCGTCATCCACAAAACCTCTCCGTCCTCCACATCATGTGTACGTAGTCAGCAAGACTTTGCCGAAGATGCAGTGAACTAAGTATATGCGGCTCTTCGCCTAACGATCATCACCTTTGCTCTTCGTCCCACAAAACACTACTTCCATCATTCACAAAACATCGGACAAAAAGTGATCTTTGCTCTTTGGCCAGCGAAATGATGACGCGACCAAAACTAGTTAACAATTTCGAGGCTAAATAAACGTCAAAAAGCGCGAAAATTGGCCTCACCCCCCTTCCCACCATATCGTTAGAATCCCACCCCACTGGCTTTTTTGCCCGACACCATGTTTCACCATATACACCTTACCTTGTCAACTGCCTGACTCATATCAAACATACCGAAACCTTCAGTCATTCTGTTGCGTTGACTATCTCCAATCTTTACGATAACGCAAACACAACGGTAATTACAGACCGCAAAGGGCGTTGGGCGCAATGTGGCTTCGGGGGCCACCACGGAACATCGCGTCAAGGTCACGGAAGGAGCTCAGTTTCAGGACTAAGCCTTTGGAGAGGGGAACTCCGGTTGCGGAAGCAATTTCGTTCGAAGTTCCAGAGTTCGTCCCTGCTACCTAGGCTAAGCCCCAGAGACCTTTCTACAGAGTGCCCCCAAGCCACGCCTGGACTTATACCGAGCACTCGCAAGAAAATAAGGGCTATGTCATACCACCTCGTGTGTGAAAGAGGTCCAGCCTCAGTTCCCACAACCCAGAAACCACTATCGAATGATACCGACATCGAGCAAAGCACCACTACCCACGTTAACCATGGTGTTAACGTAACATTTCAGCGCACAGCAGCTCAAAACTAGGTCCACAGCTAAATAAAGAGGCTCTCCACAACAAAGTTCTTGCTGACAACACAATTTGAGGGGTAATGGAGACGAAAACATCGAATTACCTAAGCATACTCAACACCCCAAACACCACCAAGTAGCACCTCCGCTTCGACCGCCAGATTCTCCTCCACTAGGACAGTTGCGAGCAATGTGGCCGGTTTCGTGGCACTTATAACATTCCGTGTCCGACATCACACCCTGAAAAATGATCGTCGTAATACAAGTAAGAACGGAAACAGGAAATATTGTCACACAGCGTCCAACATCAACGTCATCAGCGTAAAAACGTGTACGTCACTGAAAACTAGACTTGAACTCTCGAACAGGAAGAACAAGCTATCAAAAGAAGCTCGGGAGAAAAAGACACAGAGCGCTTTGAACGCTGATACCAGCTGTTCCAACAAAATGCCCTCCAACACCAACAACCCAGAGGAGAAATAATCTGCTGCTACCTCAACTCAAAAAAAAACTTCCGGACAGTCTACACGCCTAGTGATACTCCATACAAGCCTTTTTCGGAGTTAATGTCAAAAACTAATCCAACTAACCCCGCTTCAGAAAACGAAGACCGAACCCAAAGCAACCACTTCGTAAGAATGACGAGCGCACAGAACAGAATCCTAAAATTGTTCAAGTTTGGCAAGCGTCCGACCCGCCTTGATGTGCATGTGGTACGGTATGCGCGCCAATTCGAATGTGAATTGTCATTCTCGGCACGATTCCAAGTCATCAAATTCGATTTAATTTTTCTGGGACGTCTCATTTTGTTTCATAAACGACGGCTCTAAGCAGGCTTCACTGTGAATACATACCATCTAGCGTGTTCTTAGTAAGTTGGCTGTCGTTTTGAATGTTATGGTTTCAGTCATTTGTACTTGTGAAATTTACATACCAGGCAACCATTACATTTGTTCTGTTTCTAGGGCCGTATGCTATCCTTCCCCGAAGCTAGGTGATCCAAAGTTTCCTTTAAATTTATTTGTTTTGAACGATATAGTTTCTTCATTTTCAGTGCATGTTTACTTTTACCTACATACATACATTAAATGTAGGCCCTTTATCAGGGCAATCCCAGTTGGGAAGACAGAGAAAATTTAAAGGATTTTCGTCCCCCAACCCCTTCGGGGAGGATAGCATACGGCCCAATATTTTCTCGCGCACATCTCGTCAAAGCATCCATACTAGTCGGGGTCGAATCTCAACTGACGTTACTTTCTAATTTTTTGTTGTTTTTTTTTCGTTTCCGCCTTTTCGGCTGCGTTCATAGTTCGCTTCTAGGGAGATTAGTATAGTAGACGATAAGTATTAGGATAGTGGTAGAGTAGGATATTGCGCTGAACACATTAGGCCGCGTTCATAGTTCGCGACTCCGGAGATTAGGATAGTACGCGACAATGAAAAACATATGTATTGACGGGGAGATTAGGATAGTAGTAGATTAGGATAGTAGGAGAGTAGGATTGCGCTGACAAGATTAGATACGTATCGATTGAAATCGCGGAGAGTAGTAGATTGCGATATTACGATAGTAGGATAGTAGTAGAGTAGGAGATTAGGATAGTAGTAGATTAGGATAGTGCGCTGACAAGATTAGATATGTATTGATCTATTCGCTTGAAGTCGCCCAATCTACTACTCTCCAGCGATTTCAATCGATACGTATCTAATCTTGTCAGCGCAATCTCCTACTATCCTACTCTCCTACTCTCCTATCGCCTAGTCGCTCAGTATCCTACTATCCTACTCCTACTCTCCGACTATCCTACTATCCTGATCTCCGGTGTCGCGAACTATGAACGCGGCCTTAGACACGTGTCGAATGGAATCGCTGGAGTAGTAGATTAAGCGTATTCAGGCGGATTGATCTATACGTATCTAATCTTGTCAGCGTATTATCCTTCTCCCTACTACTATCTTAATCTACCTTTCAATACACATCTTGGTGGAACTCGGGTTCGGGGGGGGGGCACGCGATGGCGCGGCGCTGTTTTCGTCTGCTCTACCAAGGCTTAGTCACCGATGGCGCGTATTTTGAAACTGCCACATAATGGCGAAAGAGTAACTGTCCCTGTGGACTAAGCCCTGGAGGAGCAGACGAACAGAGCGCCGCGCCATCGCGTGCCCCCCCGAACCCGAGTTTCACCCACATCTTTTCTGTCGCGTACTATCCTAATCCCGGAGTCGTGAACTATAAACGCGGCCTTTGCATATCCCAACGCGTCTCTTTTGTGTGAGGATTTAAAAACTAATAAAAGCGGTTAGGCTGCGTTCATACTTCATAACCTTGGAGATTAGGTAGGTGACAATCAAAAATATGTCTTGATAGGGAGATTGGGATTTAGATAAAGATAATAGGAGGCAAGTATATTACCGCTAGGAAGATTTGTAAGTTTCGATTGATCTGAATGTTGGTCTCTTAGTCTCTTAACCTCCTGATCTATACGTATCTAATGTTTTTAGCTGAATTTCCTAGTATCCCGATACACTATAGTCTACTCTTCTAATTTTTCCGTGGACTGTGAACGCCTAAGATAGCATTTCAGTCTGAGAATGGATGTCATGCCTGATGAAAAACGCGAAGCCATCCCGGCTATTGGGTACTATCCACACGATCCCATCAGTACTGGAGTGAGTTCAGCTGCTTTCTATATACTTATTGAATTTTAACATGATTTTTGTGGATGCATTTCCACTGATTTGCTTGTAAGTAAAGAAGGGCCCTAAAGTTATTCCTAATCGACTCAAGAATTACCAGCAATTGGTTGGGATCCAAGTATTTCTCCCCAATTAGGGTACTTTCGCAGGGACTCTAATTTTTCTATTACCAGAACACGTGAATAGCATTCGCTTATTTTCTGCAGTTTGTTCTGCAATTTGAAAATCTTCTTTCTGAAGTTGACTCCATTGCGCTAATGGTTTTCTTTGAAGTTGTCTATTTAGACCACTCTCATTGCTATGGAATATAATGGCGGCGTAGTTGTTGGAACAGACTCAAGAACTAGTGCAGGGTAAGCAAAGCTTACTTACTTAGGTCTTTCTTTCCATTTTTTTTCTTAAATCGGCCTTCAAATCATGTCATGAAAAACAGCGCAGTGATAATTGCCAAGGGGCGTGATTTGAATGATGTCTTCCATTCTTGGCGAAGATTTCAAAAGATTCATTAATCCTCTTGGTTCTTCCTCGCATTGGTGATCCCATAGCGATTGCGCTCTCTGAAAATTAAGGGAAGTGATAAGGTACGGTTCAAGATGTTTGTATTAGGCAACATTTCGATTATATAGACCAAAATGGAAGTAAAGAGGAGCAAACCAAACAAGTCACGCTCGGGGATTTCAGTAAAGAAGCAGCACCGCAGAAATAATCAGAAACATCGGCGAAGTATATGAAGAATGCATAATAAGTGTGACCTGATGGGAGCGTAGTTCGGAAATTCCATTCCAGGATGTACAGACTGGGAAACGAGCTGCCTAAAAAACCTGCGAGGCTTGGTGAGGTGTTTTGCGAAAGCCAATCAAAGGTGTCAGATCAAGGAACCACCAATCAAAGAACCCGGGTTCGGTTTTCCGACCGATGAAATGCTCATCCATCCATGATCTCAATGCGAAACGTTTACGAGGGCAATGCTTGGCTGCATAAAGGAAGGATGATCACACAAATTAAAGGCGCAACCTAAGCATCGTGCGAGCGACTTCTGCCTAGGTTGTGCCTTTACTGTTGTCTGACGCTCTCTCACCTGTTCCATTTTCTCTCCCTATACTCCATCTCCGCGCTCAGTCTCTCACTGGTTTTAGCATACCCACATTATGGGGGTGACCAAGCCCGTAAATTGGGCATTTTCGACAGATTCTTTTCCTGTTTTCTTCATTGCGTGCCTGTTTCACACCTGTGAATTCATTAGT